TCTTTTATTTTATTTTATTTTATTTTTTATTTTATTTTTATTTTATTTTAAAAAAAATAAATTTTTTTTTTAAAAAAAAATTTAAGTAAATTAATAAAATTGTTATATAATAATTAACAGATTGCATGTTAAATAAAATGACTAAAATTTACAAAATAACGTGAAAATATTTCTGGAAAAATTATATCATAGTAAAATTATATTTGTGTAATAAAATCAGTAATCGTCTACTATAACGAATTATTCGTTATATATACTGAATAATTCATTATAGCATTAACGAAGATTCTTATAACAAAATCCTGATCGGCTGGATCAGCAACTTCATTATATCAAGGCATAACTGTATTAAATATAAAAAATAAAATAAAATATATATATATAATAAATGTAATATAATTTAATTTTTTGATTTTAAAAGAAACAGATAAAATATTTCAAAAATAAAACTATATAAATATAATAATGAAAGTATTAATATATTTTATGTAGATAAATAAATAAATTTTTCTTTTAAAAAATTAATTTAAAGATTAAATATATATTACTTTTAAAAAATCTATTTTTTTAAAGGAATTAAATAAGAAATGCTTCAATAATTCATTTAAAAAGACCATACTTTTTACTAGTAAAATATTATAACTTACTAATATATGTTATCTTTAGTACTATCCATAAATATTGAATACAAAATTATTCTTAATCTCACTAAAATTTTCAATATATTATATTTAGTATTATTTATAATGATAAATACAAAATCTTGTCTTTTAATTTCATTAAAATATCAAATATTTTTATTTACAGTATTATTAAGAAATTTTAAATAAAACTGTTTAATAAATAAAATTAAAATAAGAACAAATAGTTTCATTTTTTGTCTCATTTTTTAAAAAAAAAATTTCAAATATTATTTTAAATAATAATTTATTTTTACCAATTTTAAAATTATTAAAAAAGAGAAAGGTTTAAGTTAATTTGTCTGGATCTATAATTTTCATTTTAAACCAAAAAGTTAAGATAAAGATACTTTAATAATATTTATCTCAAATAAATTTATTTATAAATAAATTATATATATTAATGTAATATTTTTAAAAAAGTTAATATAAAAGAATATATGAAAAATTTACTATAAAATTAGGTTTTGAGAATTTTTTTGACTAAAATTTAAGACTTTATTACATTTAAAATCAAAAGTTAACTATATATTATTATAGAATTAATACTTTTTAATTTCAAATAAATATTTTTTTAAATTTTTAAAATATAATAAATAAATATATTTTTGATAAAAATTAAATTTAATACCTATTTACCTACTAAGTTTTTACCTCTCATGACTGACATAAACTTGGTTGAAATTAATTATATGAAAAATATAATCTTTTAATTGAAAAATTTACATATAACTATATATTATAATTTATCAAATAAGATATTTGAAGTGAGAATTTGTTTTTTCTTAATGATTAAATGGATTGTAAATCTAGTTTACTAATAATCTTCTTTGAGAATATCATCTTGTATAAAAACAAAGTTAATATAAAATAAATCAAAAACAAAAGATTTTTTTTTGTATTACTTACTAATAGCATTATCTAAAGCATCTATTAAAATATAAAGTTACATGTTAATGAAAAATGGATTTCTAAATTTCTTAAAAATATTCTAATAATTAATTACCAATATCTTGAATTCTTGATGTATGTAATCCATTACTTTGATCATATTCATAATCAAAATTTTCTTTCTGCTTTTGATCTAAAACTTCATTCAATTTTTTGGCAAAATCAAGTTTCTGACTTGAATAACATGCTAATGGATGGAATTTATTATTAACCATTTTAGATGAAATTAGAATATCATCATCTGCTTTCCTAAATTCCATGATATCAACTTTTGAATTTTCATCAATATAACCTCCTTTAATACCAGCATACCAAATTTCAAAAATGTTTTCAACTTCTGATGCGGTTGGTCGTTTTGATGGATCTTTATTCCAACATTTTAACATTAAATCCACATAACATTTTGGAGTATTTTCAATAATTTCGGGATGTCGTCCTCTTATAATACTTAGAGCAAGATGAAAATCACTTTTCACGTTATTAAATGGAGGAACTCCAGATGTAAATTCCCACATGATCATAGCAAAACTATATATATCACTGGCTGAAGTGTAAGGGTTACCTCTCAAAACTTCAGGTGCTACAAATGGTAAGACACCATAAATATCATCTTTTTTAGAAGGGGATCGAAAATATTCTACAGGTTTGCACAATCCTAAATCATTAATAAACAATGAAGTGTTCTCATTATACCTTAAAATATTACCATCGTGAAAATCTGTATGGATAAGGTTTAGTTGATGTATTGATTGAAGTCCTCTAATAATATCATATAATAGGTTTAATTTAAAATCCCATTTGGATTTAACTATATTTGGTAAATTTTTTCTCAAGCTACCTTCCGCTGCATAAGTCATTACCACCATATAATTTAAAGTATTTGGATCTTGAGTAAATCCATAAAATTCAACAAGTTTGTTAGTTATCCGATAACACTTGTGATGATATTTCCACTACAAAATAGATGAAAAAAAAAATAATTTGAAAACAAATGGTTAATTATAAATCAATAAAACGTTAACATCATACCTCATTTAAAAATTCATCACCTAAATTTGATGAATTATGAAGACTTTTAAGAGCCACCAATGTTCCAATAGGTCTATTCAACCAAATGGCCTTGTAAACGGTACTAAATCCTCCTTTGTCAAGATATTCAATATCTTTAAGTTTATTATAGGGAATCCATTCTAATACCTGAATTGCTGCTTGAGCGTTCTGTTGAGTTTCCTGTATAAATCGATCAAGAAATTGATTTCCGCTAGTCCAATTAGGAAAACCTTGTTGAAACCGTTTAGCGTTACATTCCTTACACCAATCACATGGTTCATAACAATATAAACATAAACCATAGTTTCTGTCTATTACCATCATGTAATCTTGAGTATTGGGAACTTGAGTAAATCCATACATGGTACATTTGCGATGATATTCCCGATACTTTTCACACAGTATATGGAAACAAAGAAAAATTTAGTTTAAGATAATATTATTCAAAAGCCCATAATAATAATAAGCATAATTTATACCTTGATTAAAAATTCGTAGCTGAAATCTGATGAGTCATTAAGACTTTTAAGAGCTACATCGATTCCATGGTCAGTGCGCTTGTATCTACGCCATTTTCTTTCATTAATATTATGACATTCCATGATGGGTCCATCCAACCAAATGGCTTGCCCCTTTTCAACTTCAAGATATTCAACATTTTCAAGTCTGTTATAAGGAATCCATTCTAATATTTGATTTTTATTAGTTGCATTTAATTGAGCCTCCTTTATGAATTTGTCAATAAATTCATTTTCACTAGTCCAATTAGAAAATCTTTGTTGAAACCGTTTAGCATTACATTCTTTACACCATCTGGAACCTGTATTTGGTTCCTTACAATCTGGACATAATCCATATGTAATCCCCAGATTATTTTTTTCATCAAATTCCATGTTACGATTTTATTTTGTGCTGTGGCGTATTCAGTATATAGTAAGATATTCCAAAAAAAAAATTTCATCTTTTGTTACACAGAATTCACATTATTTACAGACCGACTCTTTAAAACTGTTAAATTTATTACTATTAACCTGTCGGTCTTTGACCGACCCTAATTAATTCCACCATGAATAGTGTAACGTATTCCAAGAAATTTACATTAAGGGACAACATAATACGGGGAATGATGTGCACCAGTAACATTTACCTAAACGAGAATAAAACCACTGAATTTATTCTAAATTAGTTAAACTCCCGATTTTTATTAAATCGAAATTTTGTTATTTGCATATAGAAAATTCTACGACACAATAAAATATAATCTTACGATAATTCAATCATGGAATGTTGAATAATTTGATTGATATATATTACATAGGCGAAAAAAAAAAAGCCATTTTGGTTGTTATACAAATTGTGTTGATATTAATTCCTTTTTTTTTATGCCAAAGGAGTCATCCTTATAAACAAAATGAAAATCTGAGTATTCATCGACAAAAATTTAGTAAGAACGATATTGTGAGGTGAAAAAAAAAAAGGTAAATATTACGGAATATTTGAAATAAAAATTTATAATAATCGGTTTCGAATTGTGCTAAAATTAAAAATTAAGTCATATGAATTTTTTGTGTGCGAATATCATGTGTTTTCTTATATATAAATACGCATTCGACTAAAAAATTTTAAAAGTACTTTTAAAGAAAAAAAATAAATCTAATAATAATAATAATTAACACTCGATAATTTTATATCAAATAAAAATGGGACAGCCACATTCTACAACAGCTCACTATCTTTCAACACCACCAAGTTCATCTTCAAACTCTCCCTCCCATTCTCCACGTTCTTCTTCTCCAATTCAAAAGTATTTCCAAGCAGATTCTTCACGTATTTCCGGAAACGTTTCTCCGTTATTTCGATCGATTGATCCAAACACTTATGATGACATTCTAAAAAAATCAAAGTATCAATTGCCATCAGAAAATGAACATGTAGATAGAATTCAATTAAGACATTTAATGTTTAGATACGTTTGGCAAGGAAATTTTTCGGCTCCTATGGAAGAAACATTAAAAAATGGTGCCAAAGTCCTGGATGTTGGGTAAGTTCAACTTTTCTCGATGAAAAAGTATAGTCGTTTACAATTCCTAAAACCACATTCTTTTTTATTTAGGTGCGGGAGCGGTTCTTTTGTCTTAGATGTTGCATCGCAATTCCCAAACTCTAAATTTTATGGAATAGATATGGCACAAATGTATCCTTCCCCTGATGACCTCAAAATCCCACCAAATGCTTTATTCTCCCAAGTTGATATAGTGAAAGGATTACCTTTTGATGACAATACATTTGATTTTGTACATTTAAGATTCTTGGTTCAATATTTAACTGAGGGACAATGGAGTGAGAATGTCATAAAAGAATTGCTTAGGGTGACAAAAGTTGGCGGCTGGATAGAAATTATGGTAAGTTTCATAATTGACGAAATTCTTTTAATCTTTTCTGACACGTGACAATCTTTTTTTTTTTTCAGGAACTAGATTTGATCTTTTATAGTAAGGGACCGGTTACCGCCAAATTACAGGAATCAAGTAAGTAAAAAAATAAAATAAATAAAAGATAAAAAAAATGATTTAATTTATAATAAAACAATTTATTCTTTTTTTTTTTTCATAAATTTAGCGATATCATATTTTAATGCACGAAACATAAACTCGATAATATCGCCGCGACTTTCTCAGTTTCTTTCTTCATCGAATTCATTTTCTATCATACAACATGAGAAACGATGTACTCCATTAGGTCAATGGGGAGGAAAATTAGGCGAATTTGCATTGATTTACTTTACAATGGCATTTAAAAACATGAAAAAAGTTTTACCAACATTTATGGAAATTAACGAAAACGATTATGATGAAATTGTTGAAAGATTCAACGAAGAATGTGAAGGATATAGAACTTATATGAAAACATTTAAATATTGGGGACAAAAATGCTAAATAATATTTATTAGAAAACAAAAAACTTGTATCTTATTAATTTTTCTTTAATAATTTTGTAAATTTATAATCGGTCCAAAAATACTATTGGAATTAAGCGACCAAATATTTAAATAATATCGTGCTTATCAAATTATCCAATAAAAGTTATCCAATAAAAGATTAGTTTAATGGCTTTTTTTTTTATGTCCTTATAAGGATTAGATACACCGTTCTATTTTAAATTTATGCAGAATCTACACATACATATATATTTTTAGAAGTTTTGACTCTTTTTTTTAAAAATCACCTGTTTCTTAAAAAACATGATCTATAAGGATGTTTGCACCATTAAAAAATTATTAAATTTATTTTGGATACCAAATTGGATTGGCAGTTAATTTACCTTGATAAATAATTTTATCTTTTATAGTCGTAGCATTAACAAATTCAAAATTCATTTCATTACCTATTATGGTAGCATGTAAAAATCCAAAAGTGCCTTCAGGCGCACCCCAATCTTTCCCATTGCAACCTGGACTCGTCCTGCTTCCGGCGCCAGAAGTAAAATATGCAACAGAAGAGTTCGGTTTAGGATATTGATATTCTAATGTGTGAGCATGACCTGCAAAATATCCTGATACTTTATATCTTTCAAATAACGTTGTTAACCTTGGCATGTAGTAATTGTCAACACATTTCCCGATTAATGGATGATGTCCCACCACAAAAATCCAATTTGCATCTTGTTGGTCAATTAATTGTTCTTCTACCCATTTTAATTTTTCTTCGATTTCACCCTCGTCATCCCATCCCAACGTTCCAAATTTCTCTTTCATTCCTTCCTTTTTTATCTCATCATATTTATAATAAAACAAATTCGTATCAATATGTATCCATGTAACTTTAACCTTTTCTTCATTACCAAATACGCTTGTCCGAACATAAAATAATGATGGCATGAAAAATCTTGAATTTACATTCAAACTGTAATCGACTTCCGCCGTAACATTATTATACCTATATTAATTTAGTGACTTATATGATAAATAATGGTCCTCATTTGTTAACAAAATTTGACACTTTTTTTCCTTGCTTACCAGTCATGATTTCCCGCTACGCTGTACCAAGGAATCTGTGCCAATTTTCCTTTGTACACATTTAACCAAGCCGTCTTCCATTTCGTATCATTCACAGAATCAACTCCTTGATGATCGCCTTCTTCACTTTTATAAAAGCTATCTATGGTTTGATGGACTTCATTATGCATGCACATATAAAGAAATTAGGTTCAAGTTACGAAAATACAATTACCTCCAACATTTATTATAAATCGTGAATCATATCTTTCTGCCCATTTCTTCATAGCAAAGGCTACGTTCTTTTGGTTGCCATGATTTTTACCGATTCCTTTGCCTTGAAATCCCCAGTCGCCAAAGACCAAAAAGTCTAACTTATCATCCTCGTATACTTCTTTAAAAATGGTTGTTGATGGTTCTGATATTGCATGTACGTTATCATCTGGTGCACGCGACGGCATTAAAGATGCCATCAATAACCATTGTGTTGACAAAAATATAATTATTAAGATCTTATTAAGTAATTTCATATTTAATATTCTAGATGTATTTTTTGTATTATTTTTTATTTTTTTTCATATAAAAAATAAATTGATTAAACATATATATATAAATAAACTGTCAAACATTCTGACCCCCTTTTTATATAGAAATTTTCATGCGTATATCAAAATAAAATTCATTGGTTGAAAAAAAATTTTCCCTTACTATTTGACAATGATTAACTAAAAACAGCAAAATAAAAGAAAGGTGTAATTACCGTGACACATGTACCGAGTCGATCTTTGCAACGGGTCCAAACCTTGTGCAACGCCGAGTCGAGATCAAAATCTCCAATCTCACAATTCAATCAATTATGGAAGATTTTCAACTCTTAGAAACAATGCTTTACGAACGATCAATCGGTTAGTCTTTCGGCTTGTTCGTTATCATCATAACTCATTAATTTATTCTTCTCGTTTGTATAATACCTTCTCATCTTCTCATAGGGTTCTACTTGCTAGAACCTCATTTAAATCGATTAACTCAATCCGCATCCTATTTCTCGGAAGAGTCCAACGACAACTCGTTTGTAAATTGTACAACGTCAGATTTTCGGGAATTTATCAAAGCTAACTTGCAAGAATCCGTTAAAAATATCGGAGATGATAAGAGACGAATAGTAATGATTTTAAACATACAATGTAATAAAATCCTATTTTAAATTAATTTTATGTTTATATAATAGGTAAGGTTAACGGTAGACAAGCAGGGAGTCCCAAATATATCAACCTTTGCATTTCAACCTATACAAGGTTAATTCATTTGGAATTAATCAAATTGATATTCGAATGTCCATTTTTTTCATATTCACTTTTTTTTTTGTTTCTTTTTTTTTTTTTATAAATAGAACCGGTAAAAATAACTTTAGACACGCAGCCAACCCTTTCTTCAAACAAATTTCTTTATCATAAAACAACCAAAAGAGATATGTACAACGATGCCAGGATTCGAGTACGTATATATTTAATAACATGTGTGCGTTTTGTTTTTATAATTGAAATTTTTGAAATTCATTAGGTAGGGTTAGAATCCAAAGAGGACTTATTTGACGTAGTAATGTATAATGAAAAACATGAAATAACTGAATGTTCAATAGCAAATATTGCCGTACAATGTTATGATGCAGAAAATAATGTTAAATTCTGGAAAACTCCTCAAATCGAATGTGGACTATTGGGAGGCACGATGAGATCTCAATTAATAGAAAATGGAGATATCATCCCCAGTATAATATCATTGGATGATATAAAATTAGCACAACAGGTGTGAAAACAATTCATTTTATTATAACAAGTGTTTTTAGAATGAGAATAAAAATTAATTGAAATCCACCCTCCCTTTTGTTAAATTAGCAAGGAAGAAAAATCAAATGTTTCAACTCGGTGAAAAAAGTATATGAAGCCATTTTAGTTTAAAAATTCAAAATTCATTTATTCTATTTATTTTATAACTTCCATATTGCCCATCCACTTTCTTAATACTTTTGGTATCGCAACGCTTCCATCGTCCTTTTGAAAATTTTCTAATAAAGCTATAATTAATCTAGGAACGGCGATTGCAGTTCCGTTTATCGTATGAACAAATTCTGTGACGTTAGATTTATATCTTATATTTAATCGACGAGATTGATAATCGGTACAATTGGACGCCGAAGATATCTCGCCCCATTTTCCGCGACCCGGCATCCAAACTTCCATATCATATTTACGATATGCGCTCGCCCCCAATTCGCTTGTTGGCATGTCCATCACTCTAAAACATAACCCTAAATCCTTGTAAATTTCTTCTTGCAATTCAATGATCTCCTCAAACATTCTATCACTTTGATCATGTCCAGTAAAAGAGAATAATTCAACTTTACTAAACTGATGCACGCGATATAAACCCTTAGTCTCTAGACCTCTTGCACCGGCTTCAGCTCTAAAGGCTCTACCAAATCCAACCAATTTGATTGGTAATTCCTTATGAGATAAGATTTTATTTGAATATAATCCTGCTAATGGAATTTCCGCCGTTGCCGATAATATTAAATTTTGTGAACTTTCATTCGATATAAAATAGTTTTGTGAAAGGTTTTCATCATCTCTTGGTTGAAACCCACATGCATCACTAAATTCATTTCTAATTACATCAGGTGTAATTATAGGTTTGAACCCTTTTTGGATGGCTTTCTCGATTCCATATTGAATCAAGGCTAATTCTAATAAAGCCCCTTCATTCATTAAATAATACCAACTTGATCCCGTGACATTTGATGCTTGATCCAAATTTATCAAGTTCAACTGTTTACAAAGCGTTAAATGATCTTTTAATGATGTAACTCCCTCGGGGGGTGTTGACTCCCCAATTCTTTTAATTAGTTTGGCATCTTCTTCCTTACCAATAGGAGTATTAGGATGTGTATCGTTGGGTATTTTTAATGCTTCTTTTAATAATTCTTTTTCGATTTCTATTAATTTCGATTCCTCTTTTTGAATTCGTTGTTTAAGTTTTTTTGCTGCTTCGATGAAATTCGCCCTTGACTCTTCTGTGGATAGAAAAGATGTTTTATTAGCAGATCTTGATAATTCATTATGTTCCGAGCGAAGCGCATTTAATTCCGTCGTAGTGTTACGAAATTTTTCATACAAGGAACAAACTGTAAAAATATTCGCATCTTTTATATTACGATTTATAATATTTTGCGAAATTTCTTTAGCATTCGATATGAAATGTTTATAATTTAAATGTGGTGACAAGTATGATGATGTATGTTGAGATTTTGTTGAGTATGGTTTATCTTTAAACGACAAATAAAGATTGGAACGTGAAGCATTACGAAAAGGTATGAAGTTTTTATACATTGGATCATGTTTGGTGTAAAGAGCAAAAAAAAAAAAAATAAAATAAAATTATTTATGAAAAAGGTTTTGATTGGATGATCACAGCGCGCGTCTAAAAGTTTTTTTATTTTCGGTTCGAAACAATGTCCTTAAATATTCGATTTTTGTCAATTGTAATAATTCTAAATACTTTTAAGAGGAAAAAAAAAAATTAATTTACACGAAAGAATTATTATTATGAAACGAAGTAATATAAAAAGAAAATTATTATAAAAACCTAATCTATCTAGGTTAGGGAAATTTTTGTACAATATAACGAAGAATTACATATACTACATATTATAAATAAAGGAATTTTCATAGATTTTTTGTTGTGATGGTGTTATAATTATATTTGTAATTTTTTTATGTGGTTTTTTTTTTGTGGTTGTGTTTGTGAATTATATGCTTGAAAAAGTGTGATTTTTTGTAAACATGCTTTTAAAGTGTGAAAAAATGAAAGATTTTGCCAATTATAAACGAAAAGAAAATTATTTGATTTTGCCAATAGGTACGAATTAAAAAAAAAAGAAAGATTCTATCACGAAAAAAAACGATTAATTCTAAAAGGAAATTTTTTTTTTCCGTAAATCAATTACGGTTGTTTTAAAAAAAAAAAAAAACAAAAAAAAAAATTAATTCTATTAAGTATTATTATTCTAAAAAAAATTATAATTTTGATCTAGAGTTCTGCAACTCTATTATTCTCATTACATGATTCTTTTTGTCTTTGTCTTTTTCCGGAACGGCCAGCAGCCCATCCGACAAATAAAACGGCCATATATTTAATAACTTTAATCATCATAATCGGATTATTCCCACTTCGCCTTCCCCCTGCTCTACTTCTAATATTTCTAGCCGCAATGTTCATTATTGCTGGTGCTACGGGGGAATTTGAAACAATTGCTTGTGACATTGAGAACATAAATCCCATCATTGCCAGAAAATTCATGCACTTTAAGGCTAGCGATTGAAGCTTTTTAGATTCTTTAGTGAGACCTAATTGAGATGATTTTTCTTCATTATTATTGGTGGTAGTAGTCATAATCGTATTTTTATCATCATTATTATTATAGTAATTGTTCGTTATGGAAGTGGTATGACTACTATTATCAATATCATTGAAATAATTATTTGTCCTTTTCTTGTTATAATTATTTGTTGTTGAATGAACTAAATTTACATTAAAATTAAAAATATTTTGTCCAAGGTTTAAAGTATTAATAAAAGATGATGGAAATGGATTTGATGGATCTTCTTCTCCCTCCTCGTTAGAGTTTTCTCGATAATCACGAGAAGATGGATTCCATGAAGAATTATATGAACTATACGAACTGTAACCATTATCCTCCTCCACATTTTCGTTAGAATTCTCTTTGGAAATGTTATCTTTATTATTATCTTTATTATTAACGAAATTTACACGGATGTTTTGTAAACAATTCCAAATACGTCTTCTCCATTTCGAAGATTTTTTTTCATGATCCACATTACCATTATCATTGTTTAAAACATCTTCCTCCAATTCCCTAAATTGTTCGTGTTTACCAAAAATTTCAAAGGCTTTGGAAAAGCTCGTTGGAAATCTTGAAAATTTATCATCATCATCACTCGTTTCATCATCATCATCATCATGATTCCTAAAATAATTATAACGATTTGATTCATATCGTTGAGTACCTTCACCATCTTGGAATTGTTGATAAACAGGAGAATTCATTAAACCATGTTCCACCCCTGTTGAAATGGCCGTAGTAATTAATTTTTGCAATTCCATTTCTAAATCTTCACAACTCTTTCTATAATCAAACCTTCCTTCCAATTTCTTACGATATTGCTTCTTTATCCTTGCCAATTGAACTTGTCTTTTATCAGATTCTTGTTGAGGTTTCAAAGAAAAAGAAAATTTTCGGGTTAAAGAAATTGAATTTGCTCTTGAAGATTTTGGAGTTGTTCTTGCAGTGGTTGTCGTGGAAGGTAAACTGCTACCACTTGATTCTAAACATAACCAACATATTCCGCATTCGCATACTATTGGGGAAGGATTATAATGATTGATTATCCAACTACCTACATTTGAGCTCCAACTTTGCGCTCTTGGGCGTGTCGTCGTTTGTGGAAGTCCAAGCAATCGATGCGATGATGATGATGATGTTGTTGTTGTTGTTGTTGTTGTTGATGATGATGAATCTGGTTTTTGTAAAGCTACTTGTGCATCATCTATTAAATTTTGTAACGCGCTACATATTCTATCGATTGATTCGTCCGTGTCATCAGCATGTTGTAGCGTTGATAACTCAGGTGGTGAAGCTGGTGCAACAATTGATTCATTATGTGATGATAATTTTGGAGAGGTGATCTCTTGTACCTTATTCATGATAATAGGGGATTCTTCTTTGTGGGTTTGATCAATCAAAGATGAAGGAAGATAGAATTCATCATCATCTAGATCATCAATCTTCATGTTATCATCATTCTCCAATTCTTGATCAGCATCAACAGCTGTTGTGTGACTAACTGACCTGGAATTTAATGACAGGTAAGTCGGTATAACATTCGAAAAAAAGAACATGTTGATATTGATTTTAATTCGTTACTTACTCATTTTCTGATAACAAATTTTTTAATTCTTCGACAATTACTTGACTGGTTTGTTCGGTCCTAATAATACGCAAAGTATATCAATTTAACTTTAATTTCGAAATTTTTAATTGAAAAGAATAAATCAATTCATATTTACAGTTCCAATCTGGATTCAAGTTCAACGACCAATGCTTTAGTCTGTTGTAATTCACCGAGTAATTGTTGTATTAAATCTTCTAATGGTAGCTAATAAAAAAAAATGAAATGAAATGATTACATGATTAAAACCGAATAAAGTCCGTGATGAGAATGATGTCAACCTTTTATTGTGGTTGTACTTACATCACTGTTTTTCACATCATCATCTTTCCCATCCTCCTCTTCTTGATACTCTTGTTGTCGATTCATTCCACATTCGCCTACAACAATATTTTGATTATTATTACATTTAACCAAACTAGTTGTAATAAAAGAAGAATTTCTTCGACAACGTACTGTTGTTGTAGCTGAGGAAATTTGCTTTATTGGAGTATCATTGAGGGAAAGTTCTATCGGAAAGTCGTGCATGATCACTTTTTGAATATTGAAAAGCAAAAAGAATTGGATGTGCCCAGCAATCCTTCATATACGGTATTATAATTAAGATAGATATTTTTTATTAAAAGTTTGCATATAGTAATAAAGAATAAACTATTGGTTCAATATAAAAAAAAAAAAAAAGAACGGAGAACGGAGGACAATCTATTTTAAAGGAGCCGTATTGATTCTAAGGTAAAAAAATTAAAATAAAAAAAAACCAACCGCTAAAGAAACAAAAAAAAAAAAAAGAGAGAAGCCGGGAAATTTGAGGTATTTAAATTAGTCAGGAAAATTCTAAAATAAGATATTTTTCCAAGATCAGATCAAATAATCGGGCTGACAACTTTGAATTAAGAAAGAGATTTTGAGAGTCACCATAAAAAGAGTAAGAAAAGGTTAACTATAAAAAAAAAAAAATTGTTGATGTGGTGTTTATATAAAATTTAAATTTCTGGATTCCTTTTAGTAATGATGCATATTTTGTGTAATGCCACGTTCAATTCGTCTATACTTTCCGAATATTTAAATTTTTTTTTTTTTTGATAAATAAGGAAATGATATTTTGATTTGACACATGAGAGAAATCAATTAAAAAATAAAGGAACTCCCAATATAAATCATAACAAATAATCTACATCTAACAAAGAGGTTCTTAGAGTTTATCACTACCTTCTTTAAATGCAAGGCGTTAAATCCATGCATTGATGAAACATTACATAGGGATTTATGATAAACAGATATAAAGAGATGATCGATTTTTCACGTTATTTATGAAGGATACGAGATGGAACGTGGAACGGTCACTCCAAAGAAGACGGTACATACCGCAATGTTGAAACGGACGAATTCATTATTTAATGCTTTAAGTTTTCCGGTTCGAACAGGGAACCAATTAACTAATAATAATAAAAGAGCATGTCCTCGTGACGATGCCTTGTGAAGCGGTGACACAAATAATTGGTCGCTCGGTCCAAGGATTATCCATTTCGGGATGACTAAAATTCATACTCATTCAAGATTTTATTTTTGATTTTATTACAATCAAGCAAACAAGATAATCAATATGATCCTTACGATTTTAAAGTTTTTTTTCAACCGTGAATTTGTCATTTGACATTATTAAATTATTAATTTTATTTATATATAATGAAAGGTTCATGTGAAAAGAATTTTTTTAGCTTGATTTCACTTTGATATTAAAATATCTTTCAAGGTAATATTGACCTTGAGAATTTCCGGATTTTGCGGATTTTAACAACCATTCAAAAGCTTTCTTTGTGTCTTTTTCTACTCCAATTCCATCATGATAACATCTACCTAAATTGAATTGACCAATGTGATGTCCTCTCTTTGCAGATTTGGTATACCATTCAATAGCCTTGACCGGATTCTTTGAGGTTCCCACACCCATCTCGTAAAAATAACCCAAACTATTTTGTCCAAAGGTATTCCCACCTTGAGCACTTTTCTCGTACCATTCAAACGCTTTTCCTTCATCCTTATCGGTTCCAATCCCATTCTCATAGTAATACGCCAAATTACATTGTCCGTTGATGTTCCCTCCCTTTGCGGACTTTAAATACCACTCAAAGGATTCCTCGTCATCCTTTTCTACTCCGATTCCTTGTTGATAACACCACGCTAACGAACATTGTCCTTTGGAATTTCCTCCCATCGCCGACTTCATGTACCAATCAAAAGCCTTCTTACCGCTTTGTATCGTTCCTATCCCATACTCATAACAGTAACCTATTTCATATTGGGATGCGGCATTTCCTTCCTTCGCCGGTTGATAACTCCACTTTAACGATTTTTGTCTATCCACGATAATATCCTTGTAATAATATAATGCTAATAAATATTCCCCGACCGATTTGTTTATGTTTTGTAAATGATTATAAATATTTTTCCCCAAATTATCTTGTTTCGTGGTGATCTTATACAATTCTAATGCCTTCTTTTTATTAACCTTATGTCCAATTCCATATTGATAAAAAAATCCCAAAAGCGAAGAGAAATATTCGAGGTGATTATCTTGATAAAATTTTAATAAAACTTCAAATATATATTCCACCTTGATCCTTTTCATATTCTCTTCAATGTAATTTCTCATCCAATCCGTCGCATACTTATCGAATCCTTTAAAATCTTCCGTGTTCGTTAAAATATTCTCAAAATCTTGTAATAATTCTTGTAAAAATAAAATTGCTACTTCTTCTTGTGATGGTATATTTTTCGTTGATGATTTCTCTTTATCGTCAATTGAATGTTGAACTTTTTGAATTTCCACATCCACTTCTGGAAGGATTGCGGGTAAATTTATCTTATTATCTGGAATATCTGGAACATTTGGAACATTTGGAACCTCCTTTGAATTCAGTCGATATTGAAAGAATTTGGATGTTCTAGAAGCGAATATTTCGTTCTTTGCTATTGATTTTAAACTTTTAAATTTTTCTGTTTTACTTAACACTGAAAATGTCGTCGACATTATTATTTATCTAATATTATTATTAATTTTCTTTTTTCGATTTTTTTTTTTTTTTTTTTTTTTTTTTTTTTTTTTTTAATAAAAAAAAAATTAATTTAAAAATTTTTTTTTTTTTTTTTTTAATTTTTTTTTTTTTTTTTTTTTTTTTTTTTTTTTTCATTTTATTTTTTTT